AGAAAATGTTTGTCTCGCTTTGTCGAACAGATTAAAATTGAATGCGTAATAAGTCCATTGTATAATTTATGCACGATATACGTTAAGTGCGCTCTAGTTCTCTAATAATTTCGGAGGGAAATGTGTTTGTTGGGAAAATGCTGCACTTCCGCGTTGCTCTGCATTGCTTAGTGCCAGGATTTTTGTACACACTTTGGAAAGTAGTCATTCTAATTTATTTTGGGCAACGATCGTGACTGGCAACTCTTATTAACTTTCATTCTCGTTTGATACGCACTTAAGTAAGTCATTGTGATCAATTAAAAACAGGTGTGACCACCTTGTTCGACAATAATAAACTTTTCAACCGTTGTAATCGCGTTAATTCTTCAGAAGAAGTCGCCCGAGGATGGAATCTTATTATTCTATCAACCTCATATTCATATTTACTCTGAATGTATTCTTCTTTTTCTCAGGAATATGTGTAAATTCCTTGGTCATACTCAGTTTCTGGAGGTCTGTACAGCTTCGAAAGAAATTATGTTATTTCATGATAATGGTTTTGTCCTGTTGCGATTTGCTCACGGTTTTAACTAATAATCCATTGATGGCCCTCATTTCGATGTCATGGTTGACGGGAAAGTTGAATGGAAATGCTAGATGGGCTCATATTTCCTTAAAATCGACACGTATTTTCCTTGTTTCCTCATTATTCGCTCTTTTGGTGATGAATTTTGATCGATACTTGGCGACATCTTATCCTATCTTTCATCGAACATCCGTAACGAAGGGAAAACTTTTAACTCTTCTTGCAATACTGATCATCGTCGAAATAACTTTGACTGTGATCACTGTAAACGACTTTGTTATTTCCTACCAAACATATATTCTAATTCTTTGTATTCTTCTCGTTCCTGCAATGTTATTTATCAACTACAAACTGTTTCTAGTCGTCAGGAAAAGTCGTAAAAACAAAAGAATATCGCCCGATATGAAAAAGACGCTTTCTTTGAAAAATATATCGAGTTATTTGCTGGTAGTCGCTTGTGTTGTGGTGATATGCATTCCAACGTTCGTGTTCATTGGATTAAGAATAAACTCACCAGAGACAAAAAATACTTTGGATAATGCAAACCTTGCAGGGTTCTGGACTCAAACCATATCTTTGATGAATTGTACATTTAACTGTTTAATCTTTTACTGGAAAAACAAGGTGTTACGTACCGAAGGATTGAAAGTTCTGAAAAGCATGAAAATATGTCAACGGGTTGAATCCTAGCTGCACTAATAACATTTCTTTAAAAAAAAACTTAACGCTCGAAGGAAACCCACTAACAATATCTTGGTCATAGTAAATGTGAACACAATGAACTATACATTATATTGTTCTATATATTAATACGCATATCATCATCACTATAAGAAAGACAGTAGCTGTAACAAGGGTATATAAGGCGCTGTTTTCATCCATTCCTGAAGATAACTAAAATATAGTCGAATAAAACGTAGAAAAATAAAATGCTTTCATTTCTTTCAATTATATATTTCATAATACACAGGGTGTATAACAAATTTGCCATGTTATTGTGCGTTAAGTATTGGGTATGTATAGATTTAATTTGCCCATCCTAATAAAGATTACGCTTTTAACTATCGAATGACATATTTTTGTATCATTGCCTTAAAAACTGAACTAACACGACGGATTTAAAATGGCCGATTTTTCTACCGTTGCAGCATAATTGCAAACGCGTATGTTTGAGTGTTGAAATTATTCTCTGAAAGAATAGTGAAAATTCAAAAGAATAACAAGGAATAGCTGTCAAACGATACTCAAATAATCAAAATAACAACAATCTATAGCCTTACCAATTCAATTTAAAGATAATTTAACTCGCAATTAGACAACGGAATTTTGTGGATAAAACATTTTACGAAACCTGAAGTTTGCAAAGAACTTGCAATGCCTATATAATGTTTCTCTCATATACAGCGACCTCCGTCTGCGCAAATGTTTGAAAATTCTAAGAATATCAGCAGATATAGAAAAATTTGTTTTCAACAGTCGAACATGTATATATCGACCATCTGCTCGCCATCACGGAGCATTGGCATTGGTCGAAACATTTATTTAGAAAGTAGTATATTGTATAATTACTTTCTTTTGTGAGTTGATTTAGAATAACATAGAGTTATTAATGTAAAAATCCAAAGCGAAACGTGAGCTTGTATTTCTTTTTATTTCGTAATTAATGACTCGACGAAACGTGCTTTTTCGCTTGGGCCACTTGTAGTTTCAAAACAAACTTTCATTTGCATGTCTCAGATCGCACCTGTTCTCAAGTTGTTTTCGAAAAAACAAAACTGCAATTGCAAACTAATAATATATGTTGAACGAGAACTATAGATAATCATGCACTTTACACAACTTTAAAATATCACATTTTTATATACTACGGCTAGCAAAAAAAACAAATTACTAAAATTAAAAAATAAATGATAAAAATTAATAAAGCTTTTGGCATTGCACGTTTGAAATTCATACAATAATAATACGAAAATGTCGAGTGTAAATTTTATACACCTATTAAGAGGCAAACAAGAGCAGTTGTGAAAAATACAACTATATATACACCCTCTGACAGGAATCAAATCTGTGGTCCTGTGATTCCAGTGCAGCGCTCTAACCATGCAACTGAACTACAGAGTCCACCTGGATAGTTCATCATCAATGTATAAAATTTACACTGGAAATTTCCATCTACAAAATCCCTTCAACATTATTCTTCAATCAACTGAGATGCACAGAAATCATAATAATAATGACACCCCCCCTCTTTCCTCCCGTGCCCCAAACTTTTCTTCCGGATCAATTGTGTAATTCTTTCAAAATTGAGGAGAAACTGGGGGGGAGGTGTAACCTCTTAATATTTTCATCTATGATACAAAATATACCAAATCTGTGGCTCTCACGTTATCATAAAACGTGTCTAAAATGCATGAAAACCCTAAAACGTTTCCGGCAGACCATCTCCCCTCCCGCCTCCGACCTTTGGGGGGGGGGGGGGCTACGCGCCTGCCCCCACGATTACAGAAGCTCTCCCATCATTAAGACATTGATAAGCATAATACTTCATGTAGAAGGTCTTTGAAGTTTGAAAAGCCAAAACGATATTGGACATATTAATGCTTGGATTTTAAAACATACAATGTCAAAAGGATTTTAAATTTAGTTTGCCGTAGTATATAAATAGGTTTTACTTTTAAAGTTATGTAAAGTACATGTTCTGTTATTACTGTTTGTAGTTTTGGAAAACAACTCGAGAGCAAGGCGAGACATTTGTTTTGTGGATACAGATGGTCCAAGAGAACAGCACGTTTCATCTTACTGCCGAGTTAAACACATTATAAGATGAGGCTAAAAACCAGCCTAAACCTATACTTATATAAAGAATTAGACTTCAGATCTAAACTGTTTTCCCTGGAGGTCCAGTAAGGGTCATCTCTTATATTGATTCAGCATTACCACAGGAGGACACCTAAACTAACTTTATTTATATTGCATGGATAGCTCTATCATTTCTAAATCAGTATGACGAACCCATTCTCTGTTGTATATCTGCTGCCTGTTTGTTTAATATACAAATTTGTTTGCTCAACAATGTTTTGAGTAATAGTGTCATCCCAAGACATCTTAAAATGCGAAAAAGGGCTCAGATAATCTGCATCAGGAAATACAGAAGCATATAGGTCTTCCTTGCATTAGCATCTTATGACAGGAAATGTATAGTTTACTTCTATATGTCATTTATGCACTTGAGTACTTGAAATTCAGGTCTCCTACTTAAACACAACAGTTTTAGTTTTATGTTTAATTCTTCAGAAGAAAACTCGCGAGGATGGAATCTTATTATTTTATCAACCTTATATTCATATTTGCTGTGAACGTATTCTTCTTTTTCTCAGGAATATGTTTAAATTCCTTGGTCATACCCAGTTTCTGGAAATCTGTACAACTTCGAAAGAAATTATGTTATTTCATGATAATGCTTTTGTCCTGTTTCGATTTGCTCGCGGTTTTAACTAATAGTCCACCGATGGCCTTTATCAAGATGTCGTGGTTGACGGGAAAAATGGATGGAAATGCTAGATGGCCTCTAATTTCCACAAGTTCGACAAGTATTTTCCTTTAGTTTTCATATTTCGCTCTTTTGGTGATGAATTTCGATCGATATTTGACGACATCTTATCCTATCTTTCATCGAACATCGGCAACGAAGCGAAGACTTTTAACTCTTCTTACAATTACGGATTTTCACCATGCGATAAAGCTCCAAATCGATCATGCTTCTACTAGTTGGCTCTTTAATAAACCAGCTTTCAATTGACGTAAATACTTCTTTTGGCAAATGAATACGCGAAAAGCGACAGCGCGTTGAAATCTTCCGTTTTTGACGTCTTGCAAGTCAAACGCTGTTAATTTATACACCGTCGAAGTAAACAATTTAATCAAGTATTGTAAGTATTTTACCTTTTGAGAAAAAATATATTCTTGAATGGGGACTTTTGGCTCAACCTCGTTCCCAGGCTCTTTGCTCTTGTCAAGCAAAGACCCTGGTCGGGGCTAGTCACGTGACCCATAGAAAATTGATAACCTAAGAGGGGGATGGAAAAGTATCAAATTACATGTTTCCACTTCCGCACCTCACACTTCGATTCCAAGGAGTGACCGTTCTATGCAATCATCTTTGAGAATCATATATACTTCAAAATACTTGCTAAATTGGTTTCTGTTTGCTTTTAAATTATACAAACATGCTAAACTGTAGATTATTATAGCAACTAACAAGTCAGAAAATCAAGCAACGAAAACGTATGATCGTCCTGCTTGGAAATATGTTCTCACAGTGAGGAAGCTTGTCCTCACAGTGAGGAACCTTGTCCACTGGGTGAGGAACCTTGTCCTCAGTGTGAGGAACCTTGTCCTCAGAGTTAGGAACCTTGTCCTCATGGTGAGGAACCTAGTCCTCAGCGTTAGGAACCTTGTCCTCAGAGTGATGAACCTTGTCCTCAGAGTGAGGAACCTTGTCCTCATTGCGAGGAACCATGTTCCAAGAGTGAGGAACCTTTTCCTCAGTGCGAGGACCCTTGTTTTCAGAGTGAGAAACCTTGTCCTCAGAGTTAGGAACCTTCTCCTCAGTGTGAGGAACGTTGTCCCCCAAGTGAGGAACGTTCTCCTCAGTGTGAGGAACCTTGTCCCCATAGTGAGGAACCTTGTCCTCAGAGTGAGGAACCTTGTCTTCAGAGTGAGGAACCTTGTCCTCAGAGTGAGGAACCTTGTCCTCAGAGTGAGGAACCTTGTCCTCAGTGTGAGGAACCTTGTCCTCAGAGTGAGGAACCTTGTCTTCAGAGTGAGGAGCCTTGTGCTCAGAGTGCGGAACTTTGTTTTCAGAGTGTGGAACCTTGTCCTCAGTGTCAGGAACATTTGTCTCAGAGTGAGGAACCTTGTCCTCAGTGTGAGGAACCTTGTCCTCAGTGTGAAAAACTGGTCCTCTGAGTGAGGAACCTTGTTCTCAGAGTGAGGAACATTGTCCTCAGTGTGAAACACCTTCTTCTCAGAGCGAGGAACCTTGTCCTCAGAGTGGGAAACCTTGTTCTCAGAGTGAGGAACCTTGTCATCAGTGTGAGGAACCTCGTCTTCAGTGTGAAGAACCTTGTCCTCAGAGAGAGGAACCTTATTCTCAGAGTGAGAAACCTTGTCCTCCGAGTGAGGAACCTTGTCCTCAGTGTGAGGAACCTTGTCCTCAGAGTTAGTAACCTTGTCGTCCGAGTGAGGAACTATGTCCACAGAGTGAGGAACCTTGTCCTCAGTGAGAGGAACCATGTTCTCAGAGTGAGGAACCTTGTCCACAGTGTGAGGAACCTTGTCCTCAGTGTGAAGAAACTTGTCCTCAGAGTGAGGAACTTTGTCCTCAGAGTGCGGAACTTTGTTCGCAGAGTGAAGAACCTTGTCCTCAGTGTGAAGCACCTTCATCTCATAGCGAGGAACCTTGTCCTCAGAGTGAGGAACCTTGTTCTCAGAGTGCCGAACCTTGCCTCAGTGTGAGGAACCTTGTCCTCAGTGTGAAAAAGCTTGTCCTCAGTGTGAGGAACCATGTCCTCAGAGCGAGGAACCTTGTCCTCAGAGTGAGGAACCCTGTCCTCAGTGTGAGGAACCTTGTTCTCAGAGTGAGGAACCTTGTCCTCCGAGTGAGGAACCACGTCCACAGAGTGAGGAACCTTGTCCTCAGTGTGAGGAACCATGTTCTCAGAATGAGGAACCTCGTCCTCAGTGTGAGGAACCTTGTCCTCAGTGTGAAGAAACTTGTCCTCAGAGTGAGGAACTTTGTCCTCAGAGTGTGGAACTTTGTTCGCAGAGTGAAGCTCAGAGCGAGGAACCTTGTCCTCAGAGTGAGGAACCTTGTCCTCAGTGTGCCGAACCTTGTCCTCAGTGTGAGGAACCTTGTCCTCAGTGTGAGGAACCTTGTCCTCAGAGTGAGGAACCTTGTCCTCAGTGTGAGGAACCTTGTTCTCAGAGTGAGGAACCTTGTCCTCCGAGTGAGGAACCACGTCCACAGAGTGAGGAACCTTGTCCTCAGTGTGAGGAACCACGTTCTCAGAGTGAGGAACCTTGTCCTCAGTGTGAGGAACCACGTTCTCAGAGTGAGGAACCTTGTCCTCAGTGTGAGGAACCTTGTCCTCAGTGAAGAAACTTGTCCTCAGAGTGAGGATCCTTGTCCTCAGAGTGCGGAACTTTGTTCTCAGAGTGAGGAACCTTGTCCTCAGTGTGAAGCACCTTCTTCTCATAGCGAGGAACCTTGTCCTCAGAGTGATGAACCTTGTTCTCAGAGTGAAGAACCTTGCCTCAGTGTGAGGAACCTTGTCCTCAGAGTGAGGAACCTTGTCCTCAGAGTGAGGAACCTTGTCCTCAGAGTGAGGAACCTTGTCCTCAGAGTGAGGAACCTTGTCCTCAGAGTGAGGAACCTTGTCCTCAAGTGAGGAACCTTGCCCTCAGAGCGAGGAACCTTGTCCTCAGTGTGAGGAACCTTGTTCTCATAGTGAGGAACCTCGTCCTCAGTGTGAGGAACCTTGTCCTCAGTGTGAAGAAACTTGTCCTCAGTGTGAGGAACCTTGTCCTCAGAGTGAGGAACCTTGTCCTCAGTTTGAGCAACCTTGTCCTCAAAGTGAGGAACCTTGTTCTCCAATTGAGGAACCTTGTCCTCAAAGTGAGGAACTTTGTTCTCAGAGTGAGGAACATTGTCCTCAGTGTGAAGCACCTTGTCCTCAGGGTAAGGAACCTTGTTCTCAGACTGAGGAACCTTGTTCTCAGAGTGAGGAACCTTGCGCTCAGTGTGAAGAATCTTGTCCTCAGAGTGAGGAACCTTGTCCTCTGAGTGTGGAACCCTGTTCTCAGAGTGAGGAAGCTTGTCCTCAGTGTGAGGAACCTTGTCCTCAGAGAGAGGAACATTGTCCTCAGTGTGAAACACCTTCTTCTCAGAGCTAGGAACCCTGTCCTCAGTGTGAGTAACCTTCTCCTCAGTGTGAAGGACCTTGTCCTCAGAGTGAGGAACCTTGTCCTCAGAGTGACGAACCTTATCCTCAGTGTGAGGTACCTTGTTCTCAGAGTGAGGAACCTTGTTGTCAGTGTGAGGAACCTTGTCCTCCGTGTGAAGAGCCTTGTTCTCATAGTGAGGAACCTTGTCCTCAGAGTGAGGAGCCTTGTCCTCAGTTTGAGGAACCTTGTCCTCAGTTTGAGGAACCTTGTCCTCAGTGTAAGGAACTTTGTCCTCAGAGTGAGGAACCTTGTCCTCAGAGTGAGGAACCTTGTCCTCAGTGTGAGGAACCTTGTCCTCAGAGTGAGGAACCTTGTCCTCAGAGTGAGGAACTTTGTCCTCAGAGTGAGGAACCTTGTCCTCTGAGTGAGGAAGCTTGTCTTTAGAGAGAGGAACCAGCCTTCAGAGTGAGCAACTTTCTCCTCAGAGTGAGGAACTTGCCTTCAGAGTGAGGAACCTTGTCCTCAGAATGAAGAAGCTTATCCTCACATTGAGGAACCTTGTCCGCTGGGTGAGGAACCTTGTCCTCAATGTGAGGATCCTTGTCTTCAGAGTTAGGAACCTTGTCCTCAGGGTGAGGGACCTGCCTTCGGAGAGAGGAACCTTGTCCTCAGAGTGATGAACCTTGTCCTCAGAGTGAGGAACCTTGTCCTCCGTGTGAAAAGTTTTGTTCCCAGATTGAGGAACCTTGTCCTCAGAGTGAGGAACCTTCACGTCAGAGGGAGGACCCTTCTCCTCAGAGTGAGGAACCTTGTCCTCAGAGTGAGGAACCTTGCTTTCAGTGTGAGGAAACTTGTCCTCAGAGTGAGGAACCTTGTTTTCAGTGTGAAGAGCCTTGTCCTCAGAGTGACGAAACTCGTCCTCAGAGTGAGAAACCTTGTCCTCAGTGTGAGGAGTTTTGCTTCCAGAGTGAGGAAGCTTCCCTCAGTGTAAGGAACCTTGTCCTTAGTGTGATGAACCTTGTCATTAGGGTCAGGAACCTAGTCTTCAGAGTGAGGAACCTTGCCCTCAGTGTGAAGAACCTTGTTGTCAGAGTGAGGAGCCTTGTCCTCAGTGTGAGGAACCTTGTCCTCAGTGTGAAGAACCTTGTCCTCAGAGTGAGGAACCTTGTTCTCAGAGTGAGGTACCTTGTCCTCAGCGTGAGGAACCTTCCGCTCAGAGTGAGGAATCTTGTCCTCAGAGTGAGGAACCTTGTCCTTAGAGAGAGGAACCTGCCTTCAGAGTGAGCAACCTTGTCCTCAGTGTGAGAAACCTTGTCCTCAGAGTTCGGAGCCTTGTCCTCAGGGTGAGGAACCTTGTCCTCAGAGTTAGGAACCTTGTCCTAACAGTGATAAACCTTGTCCTCAGAGTGAGGAACCTTGTTCTCAGAGTGAGGAACCTTCTCCTCAGAGTGAGGAACCTCGTCTTCAGAGTGAGGAGCCTTGTCCTCAGTTTGAGGAACCTTGTCCTCAGTTTGAGGAACCTTGTCCTCAGTGTAAGGAACTTTGTCCTCAGAGTGAGGAACATTGTCTTCTGAGTGAGGAACCTTGTCCTCAGTGTGAGGAACCTTGTCCTCAGAGTGAGGAATCTTGTCCTCAGAGTGAGGAACCTTGTCCTCAGCGTGAGGAACTTTGTCCTCAGAGTGAGGAACCTTGTCCTCTGAGTGAGGAAGCTTGTCTTTAGAGAGAGGAACCAGCCTTCAGAGTGAGCAACTTTCTCCTCAGAGTGAGGAACTTGCCTTCAGAGTGAGGAACCTTGTCCTCAGAATGAAGAAGCTTATCCTCACATTGAGGAACCTTGTCCGCTGGGTGAGGAACCTTGTCCTCAATGTGAGGATCCTTGTCTTCAGAGTTAGGAACCTTGTCCTCAGGGTGAGGGACCTGCCTTCGGAGAGAGGAACCTTGTCCTCAGAGTGATGAACCTTGTCCTCAGAGTGAGGAACCTTGTCCTCCGTGTGAAAAGTTTTGCTCCCAGATTGAGGAATCTTGTCCTCAGAGTGAGGAACCTTCTCGTCAGAGGGAGGAACCTTGTCCTCAGCGTGAGGAACCTTGTCCTCAGAGTGAGGAACCTTGTCCTCAGAGTGAGGAACCTTGTCCTTAGAGAGAGGAACCTGCCTTCAGAGTGAGCAACCTTGTCCTCAGAGTGATGAACCTTGTCCTCAGAGTGACGAACCTTATCC